TCCACCATCCCGCCCGACGGTGAGTACCCTCCTCATCGCGGTCCTCCTCCTAGCTTAGCCGAGCGCTCCCTTCCCGAGACGCGGCCGAGAGGGCGCCGAGCAAGCCTTGCCTTCCTCCCTGCCTGCCTGCCTGGCTGTCAGTTGCACAAGGTTGCAAAATGAAGCGCAGAGGCAAAGCGAACAGTAAATTCTGATACTCGGCGCGAGCCTAGCAGCCCCCTTTCTAGAAAACCGAGTCGTCTGCTGCTTGGAAAACCAGGCTTATAGGACTGGTTTTCAGTTTGCTCTTTAGAAGGACATGAGTTTGAGGAGACAGGACGAGGAGATGGGAGGCACTGCGCAGTCTTTATGCTTCGGTTTAATCATATTTTGGCAGCTTTGCAATTGTATTTTCCCCCTCTCTTCCCTCTGCCACCTCTCCTACCACACACATGTAATAAAATATGCCAGTGCACTGAAATGACTCTGTCCCCCCTTCCCCAAGCCCCCTTTCCACCACAGTCCTAGGCATTTCATACACATTAGCAAACCCATCATCTGCAAAGCCCCAAGTCATCCCCAACCCCACACAGCACAAGGAGAACAGTGAGAAAGGAGAGAGAGAGGAAAAAAAAATACTGTAAGTAAACATACCAAAACCATATTTTCCTTGTTCAAGATCCCAAACCGCTTGCATCTTCCTTCTAAACTGGAATAACTCTCCTTTAGTTTGGCGGGTGAAATAAACGCTTTGTTGGCCCCCTGAAAAGATGTGTCTTTGATAATTAAAGAGACTCTCCTCCTCGATGTTTATCTAAGCGATTGTGCAAACTGATAAAAAGTAGGCACTAGCCTGCAGGGAAAAAGAGGAAAGGTGAAGGGAGAGATCTTCCACCTCCGGGGAGTGCTTCCCCATGTATTAGGCGTTCGCTCTCAGCCTAGGAAAGCCCTGCACACTAACTTTAGAGAGACAAGGTTTCAGGGAGCTTTGTACATAGCTGCTGAGGAATGCAAGCCTCGCCTTTAAGAAAAAAAACCCCAAACCGTAGGTAGGAGATGTCTGGAGTGATCCTTGTCTCTCATCTCATTCCTTAGAAGGAAGAGTGCGTTGTTACACCTTGTTTGGGGCTGGAAAGACGAGACTTTAAAAACACCCGTCCAATTGAAAAAAATCTCCCAACTTAATGAGTTTAGTCGGAGGCTGCAGCAAACGGCTCAGGCTCAGCAGAAAACCGCCAACAACTACAGCCGATATTGCAAAGCAGGACAACCCGAGGCACAGCCAAATTCCACTGTTTGGGGTCGAGAGGGATGGAGGCTGATCCTAAAGCGAGTTGGGAAATAACAGAGGTGGGAGAGGAGGGGGAAAAAGCAGCAGCCTAGCAGACTGGCAGACATGCTCCTCTTACCCTGGATCAAAGATAGAACTTGAAACAGGAGGGCAACATTTTTCCTAGGAATCTGCTGGAACCCTCATTTTCTACTTTTAACTCAAGTCCCCCTAAGTGATTTTTCCCTCTCCCCTGTGGATTAGTGCCTCCCTCCCCTTTCTGGTGCCCATTCTAGAACTTTCCTGAACAGGAAATCTATTTCTTTTGGGGGGAGGGGTTCCCCATTTCAAGCCTTCCTAGGATGAATGCTTAATTCACCCCTCCCTTCTTCACTCCCCCAAAAATGAATAAAAGAAGCAGGACTACAACCACTAGCAAAAATGGAAAGTAAATTATGCTGCCTCTCCCAGTTTAATGCAGTTTTAACTAATGGATTTTTTGTTTTGTTTTAAGAGAAGAATAATGGGGAAACATGCACCTTTTATTTTAGGAAACTGTGATGGTAAGATGTATGTCAGACTTGACAAATGGAACTAACGCTCTTCGGCTGCTTCTTGTCCTTGTCTTAAACAGGAATTAAGTTAAACACAGTGCTGAATGTTAATTACATGTTTACTGGCTAATGAAAATTACAAATGGTTTTGCCACCTCAAACAATGCTGAAAACTCCGAGGACACTGTAATTATATACTTTGAGGGAAATAACTGAGAATATTGATCATAAGAAGTGTAAATCTTTTTTAAACTATTCATTAATACCATAAATATGGGCTGCAGAAGTTTTTCCTTGCGGTTTGTCTCCTCAGTTCCACTGAGTGGCTGGGTGTGAGGCTCTCTGGGGAGGTGGTGAACTCGTTCCGTTAGAAGAAGGAGGCCACTTGTGTAACTCAGGGATGCCCCCCTCCCTTTTGTCCCGCCCCTCTTGACCCGAGCTGAAGGTCGAGGGATGGTGGAGCAGGCAGGCCAGGCTCAGCGGAGGTGAAGGTGATCCCAGGGTGGCCTCTCCCCATCCTCCCTCCCTCCTCCTGGCCCTCCTCCCTGTTTTGCCAGGTCTGACGGAGGACCACCTTCCCAGCCTGGTCGTCAGTGGCACAGCCTGTCATTCGGGATTCCTAAGGGAGGACCAATTAGACCTAGCAAGCGCCCCACCCCAGGGATGCTGCCCTGCCCACCTGAGTCCACCCCTTCAAGGTGGCTAGAGCAGTTCCTGGCCAAAGAAGAGGGCGGAAAGTTGGGGATGGAGGTGGCTGTTGGGTAAGGTGGCTCAGGCAGCTGAACCACAGCTGGTTTCCTTGGGTTCAGGAGAGATTTTTGTTGCTGTTGTTTTCTTCTCCCTTTGGCCAGAGTGGTAGCACTGGCAGTCACTCCAGTCTTGAGGGTCAAAGGTGAGGGTTGCACTAACCCTAAAGGCCGGCTTCCTGAGCTGGCCGGAAGGCCAAGAAAGCCGGGGATGGGGGGTTGCCGGCCAGGCCAGACTGCCTGGCTCTTCGGAGAGGGTGCTTGTGAAACTCCCATCCGAGGGCCATGGCACCCAGTGCAGGTTTAAAGTGCAATATTGACGATTTTTTTAAAAGTGCCCTAGGCTTGTGGGACTGGAGTCTTCTTTTTCCCTGAGAATTCCCAAGGCGCTGGTCTTTGTCTTAGAAGGAATGGAGTTTCTGAATGGTGTGAAAAGGACAGAGAGGGTCGCTTCAAATCGATTTTACTTGTCCTTTCTGTCTTTTCGGATCAACGCCCTTCAATGGGCACAGAGGTGCTCTTTCAACCAAAAACTTGTGCTACATTTTCTGCCTGTATTGGTGCTAAATACAATAAGCATTGGGCAGATTTTTTTTTTCTTTTCTCTGCAAAGCAAGAAAGCACCCTAATTAAATTGTTTTATATGGACAGTCAGGACGGACCAATTAAGTATGCATTAGTATAAAGATATAGTCTGCAGATAAGGCGATTTAGAAAACCATGTGCGGGACAAAGGGAGGGTGCTAGCGTTTGGGCAGGGAACATGCACACAGTGGGGTCGAGCACCTTCCTTTGCGGGCTGCAGGGGAACTGCAAAGGCCGAGGGCCCAGGTGAGACAGGAGCGGCCGGCTAACAGGTGGGCACAATGCCGGAGACTTTCAGGCTGGCGCTCCTGGCCTGAGAGCGGTGGAACCCGAGGGCTCCGTGTCCTCAGTACGGGTCTGGCGAAGTACCATCCTGAGGTGGCGGGTCTCATGCGACACGGTGGGACCGCGCGATGCCCCACGGTGGATCGGGTCCCCTGCCTGATGTGCCAGGTCCAGGGGGCGGCCCTGTGATGCTGACATAGTACGTGCCCACCCAGGACAGGCCGGGTGGGCCCCAGGGCCGCGGGCGTCGCCCTCTGACAGTCAGGAGCAGGGCCGAAGCCCCTGTCCAGACCTCCAGCCACAGCGACTTTTGGCTTCTAAGGAAGGACAAGTGTCTAGCACAGGGAAGGGCAGTTCCCGCCCGACGCCATCCGGCCCAGGGGAGTCGAGGACGAGACGCTGCCGTGGCAGGGGAGAGGCCGGGGGTCGGGGAAGGGGCAGCAGAGCCAGCGGCCACTCCTTCCGCAGGCAGAGGCGGCTTGGGCTCCGGCATCCCTCTCCGCCCTCGAGGTGTGGGCGGGTGGAGAGCAGCCTGCCCGGAGGAGGTGACCGAGCCGGGCTGGGATAGGTGGGCTGCGGGCCCCGCGCGGCTCGGGAAGGACGCTGGGGCGCGCGGGGCGCCCTCGGCCAAGGGGCGACAATTGGAGCCCAGGGAGGAGGCGGAATGGCAGGAGGAGAAAGGTTGAAAAGCCAATTTTCCAGGCGCGCTGCCCCCCGCCCCCGCCCCAGCGCCGGCCGAGGCCGTAAATCAGCGCGGCGGAGAGGGCGGGAGGAGCCCGGGGTGCCACTGAGCGGGCGGGTGGGCTGGACGCCCCCCCCCCCCGGCCTTGCGCACCTCCCGGTGGGCCCCGCATCGATCCACAGCCTCGCCGAGGATGTCACCGCACTAAATATTTACTGATCACACACAAATAGCCGGGCCTCGAACGATTTTCCTCTGTGAGGAGAGCGCAGAGAGAAGGGTAAATCATTTGATTAGTGTGGATAAAGCCCAGAGCACACTCCGGGCTGGAGTGTTTTAAGATGTGTCTTCAACGGGATGAAGAGAGTTAGGGCAATCGATGCGGAGTGATTAGACGCCCCCGAGTGACAAAGGGGGACGGGGCCGCCTGGGAGTCGGCGGTGGCGAGTGGGAGGGCAGCCAGCGTCGAGGGGGGCGCTCGCCTCGACGGGAGACGCGCGTCCCACACGGCTTGGGGCCGCCGCCCGCGAGCGATGCGCGGGCCGCCGCGGGGCCGAGGACCGGGGCCCCAGTGAGCCGCGAGCCGCAGTGGCCAGGTGGCCGCGGGAGCGGATGGCGGTCGTGGCGCGGGGACCCGGACGCGTTTCCCACCCGCGAGGTCTCCGGGCCGCCTGCCGTTCAAAGGTGTGGCCTAAACCGCTGCCGGGCTCCCTCTGGCACTTGAGGCTTCCCCCAGCCGGCACCCAAAGCTTCCTGAACTTTCCCCGGGGTCCGCCTTGCTTGTCCTCTCCTTGAGTGTATCTCAAGAGGACCCCTTGGCCCAGCCCTGCTAAGTGCGTCCCCACCCACCCTCCCTGTGTCGGGGGCGCCCGCCGGGTGGCGGGAGCCGCTGGGGACGGCGCGTGGCGCGGGCAGGTGGCAGGAAGTGTAAGGCCCAGTGGGACTGCAGGAGGGAAGGCGAGGAGCTCCAGTGAGGCCCCGGGACCTTTCAGGTCTCTCCCAGGCGGGAGATCGGCTTTGGGATGTCAGGGCCACACTCCGCACGGGGCACCGTGCGGAGAGCCGAAGGGCCGGGGTGTAAACACGTGTGGCACCGAGGTTCACAAGGCTTTGAGCCCGGGGTGGAGGGCTGGCGATCTGCTGGAAGGGAGGGAAATACCTTTCCCCCAAACTCGAAGCAGGAACGTCCTGGCGCTAGAATGGCTTTTCAGTTCTGGAAGCGCGAGTCTCCCTTGCTACTGGGAACAAACCTTGAGGTTCCAAGCAGCTGCAAACAATCAAGTAGGCACTAATTTCTGGGGAAAAGAAAAGGTGGAAGGTGAGGACAGAGCAGAATCTTTTTCGGTTTCTTCTTCCCCTTCCCGCTTCTGCCCTTTCCCCAGAAATCTGCCCTTCTTGAAGAAACTGGTGGCTGCTTGTACATACCGATGCATGCATGTAGATATGTACGCAGGCATGCATGAGGAGGGTGGCCCTCCCAGGCCACCCTCTTGCTCGGTTTCCTTGGCAGCTTGAGGGAGTCAGTTCAGGCTGCCCAGCTTGGCTCTTCGATGCAACAGGAAATGTAGCTGCACATGCAATGAACCGTTTTAAAGTAGGAATCCCAGTGGGTTGGAGAGATGTGTTCAGGTGTGAGGGGATCAGTGGCTCGGACTCCTTCCCCTGGTACTCGGATGCCTGCGGAGCAGGCTCGCAGGCGTGGCTGGCCTGGGGGACTGTCAGGAGCCCGGTCTCTATTAACCCTTCTTGGGCTTGGCCAGAGCGAGGAGGTTAACTCGGCTAATCTACCAAATGGGGCTGTCGTAGAAAGGAAGGAAGAACAGAAGGGTGGAAAGGAGTGAAGGAAAGAAGAAGGAAGGAGGGGGAGGGAGAGAAGGAGGAAGGACCTAATGCATTCCAGTTGCAAGGATGGTAGAGCCAGCTCTGTGGCCTCTCCTGGTGCCCCACCTCCACCTTCCTGGATTCAGAGACCAAGGAGACCCCCATCAACACCAGAACCCTCCCCGAGGATGGGCTCTAGAGAACAAGAACACAGAATGTGATGGAATATTTCCTTCTATTTAACCGACCACCCAGTTCACTTTAAAAATATTTCTAACAGGTATAGATCCGGTTATTGGGTGAAGGAGGTGGAAGAGCAAAACCCAAACAAAAACCCAACGCATAGTTTACCTTCCATTTAAGTCAAAACAAATTTAGAATCTTGTCAGTAGCCAAATTATAGCCATAAAATCTGGATGAGAGTAGGAAATATATTCCACTGGCTTCAAAGTTGGCATCTGAATGGGTCACGAGAGGACAGTCATGTGCGTGAAGATGTGTTCAGAGGGATGTGTATATATTCGTATGGTGTTAGAAGTTTGTGGGTGGATTAAAGGTTCATGCACTCAAGCACTAGATAGAAGTTGTCACTCATTTGTACATTCCGGCAGTCTGGCAGAAGGCAGTGCAAAGAGAGTTTTGAATGAGCTCCTTGGAATCGCTATTGTTAAAACACAAGCTGAAGCAACTTAGCAATGGTAAAGCCGTCGTGGCTTGCAAAATCATAGAAAGACACTTCAAAGTAAAAATATCAGATTTCCAGTTTGGTAGCTTTGCCAGGGCATTTAAACAAAAGGTGAACATCTTTTGCATAACTGATTCATTTTAAAATGCAGGGATATTCCATTCTACCTTTTTTCCCCCACTTTTCAATGGATTGAAGAGTTAAAGGAGAATAAACTAAGGATGGTGGCACAAGGAATTCTGCCCACTTAACCGAGTCTGATGTGGGCAATAGATGCTTTCAATATTAATATTAAACTGCAAGGCGACTCTTGCTGAGAAAGTTCCAAAGACATCTTGAGCCATGTGGGCATCAGTTCTCTCTCTCTCTTTTTTTTTTTTTTTTTGGTACTGGGGATTGAACTCGGGACCTTGCACTTGCCAGGCAGGCGGCGGAACCACTGAGCTAAATCCTTGGCCTGATCCATTCTTATTCAGAACTAGACAAAGTAAGAGATGATGGTCTAATTCTGTAATTTTTCCTCTTTTTTAAGAGCCTGGTAATGAAATCAATAAAATGGCAGTTAATTTTTGGTATGTCAAAAAAAAGCATTAATCAAATGGAATCAAGTGCCAGTCACTTAAATGTGAAGGTGGTCGGCAAATATCCAGATAAATTAATACCATTAATTAGCCACATCAGTGTACTTCAATAAAGTACAAGCTAAACAACACATGATTTATTTAATTTAATTTTTTGAACCATAAACTTGAGGTGAATTTCAGAAGGAGAAATATAACTGAAGGAGTATTTTCTGTTTTATTGGCTTTTAGGGATTTTTTTTGAAAGTTGTAAAAAGCCAGGTTCAATATAAAGCATACTATTTGAGAATAAGTAGATGGCCAGAGATAACCACAGCAGAGAGACATGCACGAATTTAGAAAGCATTTCATTAATTACATTGTCTTTTTCATTTCTCCCCTTAAAAAGCTTATTTCTTAAAAAACTGAAAGTAGGTGTTAAAAATAAAGAAATTCTATGCAAAATGAAGAGGAGGCTATTTAATAGCATATTCAGTGTCTTGGCCATAGGAAGTAGTTGCTTGAGAGTTTACAAAGTGAACTGTGTGGAGAAAATTTATGTTGGTATTTTAATTTTGAGTACAGGGTAGATCTATCCCTTATAATTTATTATAAATAAATCAAGCTTATCCAAGAGATTTCTACATACTTGTCTATGGTAAATTGATTGAGATGATGTCATTTTAAATAGTTAAAGCAAAACTGAACACATTAAAGAAAGGGTGTACTGATTTCATGATGAATGTCACATTGGGTATTTCATGACAGGGCTACATCACCTCACATGTCAAGGAGAAGAAGTTTAAGAATTAGGGAACACTATTTCTTTGCAGAGTGCATGTTCGTAACTTACTTCCTCCCAAAGGGATATTACAGCTTTCCATTTATTCTTTGTTACCACGTTACTTGGTAATTAAAAAGAAGCTGGTGTTGTGAAACATAAGCAGCAGAGGTTTAAAAAAGTTATTTTTCTTCATAGTTAGATCTATGCTTATTTATGCATTGATTTTTTTCATATGGTTTTGGGTAATTTAATAGCTTTTGAAATCACATGCTATGTTACAGAAACCTACATTGCACAAAAATTGAGAACAAATTCAAAGACATCAGAAGTTTTTTTTTCAAGAAGTGCAATTCAATGTGCAGCTACTGAAGAGCTACTATTTCCACTCCCAGGTTCTATTAAAAACAAACACCCAAAACTTTTCTTCTTTTCTAACAAGCTTTAAAATTGCAGCTAGTATGAATGTGGATGAATATTGAATATCAGAGCCTTTAACTCTCTTTTCCCATGTTCCCTGGAAATTTTTAAATTTTTCTTTTCTGTTGATGTACTTAAAAAACCATTAGTCAATGTGCAAGAATTATCCACCCTCTTTTAAAAGCCAGTGAATAAAAATTCTAATTATAGAAAAGAGGTGTGATCTTTATTCTAACGTTTCAGGGACAAAGTTTTCTTCACAAACCAGAAGCACTCTACCCTGGATAAATCAAAACAAGGCAGCTGTTGGGTGTTGTTTATTTTTTTAAAAAATTCATGTCCTTTTGCCCTCTTCTGCTAAGGTATTTGAGTTTTTACCTTCACACACTCCTGTTAATGGAGTGAATTATATATATATATATATATATACACATAAACAATTTTGGCTTTATAGGTGAATACATTATTATATTGAAAAATAATATTCACTTTTGTATTCAAATTTACATGTCCAGGCAGTAATGAGAAGGTCATGTCCTGTAAATGTACTCTCCCCTAACAATAAAAAACATTACATAGCTAAACTAAGAGAAAAAAAATTTCTTAGGATTTTGGAAATCCAATATGTTGGACACACAGGCACATTATTTTTCAAACTGAACTCTTAACTAGGTTTTATTTTCCCTTAACTGTCTACTAAGATGGAATACTTTCACTTTAGAGATAATTTTGAATTTTAAATCAAATTTTAACTACCAACCTTGTAGGTTTTCTGAAGTGAAAGGAGATTTGAAATAAGCCTCCAAAATAAAAGACAGACATAAGTGGCAGGGCACGATGGCTTGCCTCAGTTTTTAGGGATGCTACAGGAGTCTTTTAAGGATTGCAATAGCAAGCTTTTTTCAGAGTGCAGAATGAGATGGTAAGGGGAAAGAAAAAGGAGAAAAAGATTTCCCTTACTCTTTCCCATCAAAGTCCCTCAAACAACAGCAAACAAAACAAAGCAAAACAAAATCCAGTTCCTAAATCCCCCCAAAGACCCTTACCACTTGGGGAGTTTCTGTGTAACTGTGAGTGCTGCCAGAGCTGTCAGATGGTCAACTTTCTCATTCTGAGGCAGTGGTCAGACAGTGGTTAGCAGTCTAGAGAGCAGGCCCGCTCTGCTATTGGAGCTTGGCTCCAGAGAGCTGCCACTGAGAGGTAGACTTGGGAGAGCGACTGCTGAAAGTTAACCTCTCCTTTCCAAAGGAGACTTGCAGGGGCTGGACAGTGAGAGCTGATACAGACAATTTTATTTTCTAACTTCTATGATTTTTCCCCCTCCTTCTTTTACTATCTGTCTTTGTGCCTCCAGGGCCAGGGAAAGAGCAGGGCAGATTCTAGATTGCTTTCAGAGGTTGCCTTCTCTGATGATGGATTACCATGTCAATTTAAACGGCATAGGATTAATTTGTTTCAATGATTTCTCTTTAGGCTGAATGCCAGCCGTTTTTCTATCTCTCCCCTTGCTCTTCAGAACAACAACCACCACCAAAAAAGAAAAAAACAAAAAGGAAAGAGAAAGGAGGCAAGAAAAGGGCCTTCATTCCACATCCTAAATTAAGAGATTATAATGGAAATAGACAAGTTAGGTGTAATGTTGCAACACTGTTATAGGTTTGAGTGTTTTTGTCTCTGCCTAAGAGGCTGAAACAGTCAGTCACATTAAAATGAAATTGGACTCAACATTTATTCAATAAATACTTGTCTTGTAGGTAATCCAGTGCCTAGTGCTTTCGACACATAAGGACTTAATTTGTCTTGGATAATAAGTTATTAATATGGCACATTTAAGCCTGCCACCTACAATAAGGCTATTAAGATCTAAACAAACTCAAATGATCATTGTAAAAATTAGTTTGTGAGGGAGGGAGACATTTTTGAGAATGAGTATCTTTTCCATATACACACACACACACATACACCCTAGTAACATAGAGAGACGTAGGGCTGTGCACACACACACACATATGTACATACACATTACACATGTACCTGTATCTAAGATGTCATAAGGCAAAAAAAGTCAGGGAAGTTAAAAAATTCCATCCATTATGCAGATGTATCTAACCTTTCCAAACTAAGAATGTGTCAGCTAGTTTTTTTCTTTTGAAAGATTTCTGAAGTGCATCAGAAAAATGATTTTCAAATTCACTTTCTTTGCAAGACCAGACCCCTTATCAGGTTGAACATGGCACCAAAAAGACCTGGGTGGAATACAAAATCAAACACCCTCTCCACAACTTTCACCTATGCTAAATTTTTTTTTTTTTTTGGTACCGGGGATTGAACTCAGGTCCTTGCGCTTGCGTAGCAGGCGATGAAACCACTGAGCTAAATCCCTGACCCCTTCATCTATGCTAAATTTGCATGTGGCTAGAGGAAGTTTGTTGGTGGTGAAGAACAAGGCAACTTAATTGAAATAGTTGATCCTTTAAAATATTATTTTATTTCCCCTTTTAAAGGAAGGACCTCCAGAAGAGGCAGAAATATGAGAGATTTCACATTCTGGACCAACCATGTTGGGTACACATGATTATTTGAACATGGGTGTTCTTTCCACCACCTTGTTCTCCTAATTGCTTCTTCTTTTTCCAGCACCGTTACACTAAAATTTAGCATCATAGTTCAGAATAATAAACTGCATTTGCAATATGATTACAAATGGACTTGGCATCCTTTCCCTCTTTCCCAGTCCTCTCCATGTGCAGGCAGGCTTCTTTGTGTAGATTCTACTTTCTAAGGTCATTCACAATCAGGGGGCAATCAATGACTGTCAGAAGCGGAATCTACACAATTTTAATTCATTAAAAACATTTGTTAGTTGCTCACCTTGAGGGGGATTGTGCATCTCTAAGAGACCAAATCTTTGAGAGCTCTCCCTGGGCAATGATGTTACACATGAGCAGAAAATCCAGACAAGAAAGGCTAATTGAATGAAGAGAGAGAATTAGGTTAAAAAATGGAGTACGATCTAGTATCACATTTTCACTAGTGTAACTTGAAATGAAGGTGGCTTTGAGTCTCCAGTGATGCCAGAGTGTTTAGATGTTTGGTACAGATGGGGACACCTAGTGAAATGTGTCTGAAGAAGATTAATAGGGCTTGTCACTGTTGGGAAAGCACTGCTTCGCTGTAAATTTCTACCAGCACAAGATGAATTACCGATGAATGCTCACTTATCAACCCCATCACTATCGTTCGACACTAAATCAAATTGAGAAGTTATCTGCAATCAGAAAATTCCCTTTTAAAATAGACATACACCTTTAAGCCTCAACTCTTTAATAATCCTACTCACAAAACAATTCCCTGTCCCATGATGCCTTTTATTTTTAGCTTAAGTGGGAATATATCTCAATAATGAATATGTTTTTAAATTCACGTACAATGGACAGCTGGTCAAATAGTAAAGTTTGACAGAATTTTATGGAGGGTGTAAAGGCTTCCTGAAAGTCATCATTTAATATTGCACAAAATGTGTTCTTTTTGCCTTTATATTTTTCTCTCCTTTACTGGGAAGGCAAAAAAGAAAGTTTTCTGTTTTAAACTTTATGATTCAATAAGTCGTCCAATGCTCTGGTAAGATAAAATTATGAGACTTGCAAGTGTAGAATGGTAGAACAGAGGTTAGATGGGTGACAATGATAGTTGAGGACGTGCTTTTTTACAATTCAGTGATACTTCATGTATCTTATTTTGGGGGAATAAGGTGCTAGGATAGAATCCAGGACCTCGATTGTTTTAGGCATGCAGTTTACGGCTGAGCTACACTCCAAGCCTGCTTTGTATCTCATTTCTTGTTTGTTTGTTTTGGTTGTTTTTGGTTCTGGGGATTGAACTCGGGACCTTGGGCTTTCGAGGCAGGAGGCAGAACCATTGAGCTAAATCCCTGGCCCAATGTGTCTCATTTTTTAAATTGATTGATTTGAGAAGGAAAACAAAGCCATTATCTCTTTGTATTATCTGTTAACCCATCTAAGTATCTCAAGGCTTTCTAACTCAGGGACAATATTATTTTAATACAACTAGCAATTCTTCTATTTGTACAGTTCTCTACCTATTTAAATAGTGCTATCACATGCAGGAGTTATTTGATTTCTGCTGAAATCTTGGCCAGGCAGATATTTTGAATTCCCATTTTGCTGGTTAATAAACTGAGGCTTAAAGTTGTCTGAAGTCAATGAGCTCACAGAAGGACAGTTAGAATATGAAGCTCTGTTTTCTCAGTTCCATTAGAAATTTGTCATTTCTGGTCATTCTGTAAAGGGGAATTAAAAGATAATAATGCTGATTGCAGTTAATATTTACTATGAACTGTGCAGAGCATTACATGTTATTTTACTTAAGCTCTGTACTACTCTCTTAGATAGATACTATTTTTTCCATTACCTAAGAAAAAAATGAAAGGAAAACCAAATGAGGCTTAGGAGGCTTAGAAACTTGCCCACATTTCACATGGGTAGGAAGCTGGGGACATGTTATTTTAATCCAGGAAGTCTGAATTCAAAGCCTATCCTGTTACTGTTTCCAATTGCAAGGAGCCTTGTATTGTACCAAATGACCACAATTAATCTCACTTGTTTTCAGAATATAAAAGTCAATCAAGCTCTAAGGCAGTGTGTAGTGGTAGACTCTGCCCTGGTTTGGAGATAAGGAGACCTAGGTTTATTTATTAGTTAATTCTTTGCAGTGCTGGGAATCGAACTCAGGGCTTCAGCTATGCTAGGAGAGTGTTGTATCCCTGAAGTATGCCTCCATCCTCAAGAGCTGGGTTTAAATTTTGGCTTTCTTAGTTACTAAGTAGGTGACCTCAACCTCCCTGGCCTTTATTTTCCTCATCTCTAAACTGGGGCAGTTGGCCCAAATGAACATTGCCTTCCGGTGCTGTTCCTTGCTTATGATCTCCAAGAGGGAAAAAGAGGAACAGACACACAATAACCATCTCTGTTGAAACAAGTGACATTCGGAGTTAGGGGAGAATGCATAGTTCCCATTTCCATGAGACTGGCACTGAAGACACTCTGCACTAAAAAATCTCCATTTTCTTTCTCTTGCCTCCAGAGAGCACTGAATCCATTTGTCCCTTAATATCCAATGGGGATGAGTTCCAGGATCCCCACCAGATACCAGAATCCAAGGATGCTCACTCAAGTCCCTGAATAAAACACCGCAGTATTTCCATGTAACCTATGTACACCCTGGTAGTCATTAAATCAGCTCTAGAGTACTCACGGTACTGCATACAGTGTAAGCACTAGGTAAATAGTTGTTCTGTATTATTTAAGGAATAATTACAAGAAAGTAGTCAGTATATGTACAGTATGAGGCAATTAAAAATATATACATATTTTCAACCATCATTTTACTGAACTTGTTGATAGAGTGCTGACTGTACTTCAAACAAGAGGGTTCTCAAGAAAAGAAAATCTTTACCTCATTTTCCAGATAAAAGCAAGAAGAAACCCCCATGGGCTATAGAGGTTAAAGGACTTAGGGTCATCCAACTAATTGGTGATACAATTGAAATTTTACCCCTTCTTACTGGGACCCAAAATAGAAATCCTCATCTTCCCCCCTTAAAATACCTTCCCTACACCATCCTCCTTCTTCAACAAAAATATACATCAAATCATCTGGTCATGTTCCTATTATAATTATCTATTTTATAGTGTGATAGTATGTATGGATTATTATTGGTAGTAACATGAAAAAATTTCCTGAATCTCTCTTACCATCATTTTTCATAAAACCTATAGATCTAACCAGCCAAATAGTCAAAGCTGCAGTGAAGAATCATACCGCAGTATGAATATTCGGTAATCTCTACTAGGTCACTATAATATTCCAATCTGTATGCATTACAACCCCCTTCAGAGGCTTACATAACCAAAATTACTAGATTTATATTCCCTAATAGTTTCTCAATGGCAAAAAAACTTTTTTTTTTTTTTTTTTGGTTTAGTTTTTTATCTTCCTTTTCCTGTCCCAAATCATCCTTCCATATACATTGCTGGCTTTGGGAACCCTGTCTGGGTTTAATTAGAAATTGCAAGACAAAATGTGCATTATTAAGAAATATAAATATTTTCAGAAGCAATCAAAGGGATGAAAGATTGATTCAGCACGTAGATTGGACCTAATTCGAAGCAGCTTTGTTCTAATGAGAGCTACTGGGATACAAAGTCAGGATCTGTCGCTGCCACCGGTTAGAAATTCCAGTACATTCGAATAACCTGTCAAGGTTTCTCTTGCTAGATATACTGAAGCATTTTTTTGCACAGTACAGTTCTGTCTTCGTGCTACACCACCTTCCTTGCCACCCTTAGGGACTTGTAATAGTCATCTTTGAGAAATTATGACTAATTTCTTTTTCTCTTTGTAGTTTAGATCAGCAAGTACCTCCCTTTTCACAACTCGGAAGTTGGCTTAGCATTAACTTTCATAAGAACATTTTGGCCCGGAGGCATCTGTATTACAATTTCTTTCTTGGCTTAATAAAAGGTATCGCATTATCTACCTGGTCAATCTGTACTGGCTTTCAAAATATAGACATGGAAAAACCTAATAAGGCCCATTAGGATATCTGCTTTAAAAACAACAGGCCACCTCATTTAGCATGTTGCTTTGAAATGTTCCAGACAGCCGGGTGGTCATCAGTTGAATTATAGGTACTGCTAATTTGGGATCATTGTTAGTCTGGTATCTCTGAGAAAATAAAAATGCCTAATGTGTGGTGAAATTTTAAGACACAAAGGATCAAACCCTGACTGTTGTATTTTGTTTTTGTCTTTCTTTCTTTCTTTCTTTCTTTCTTTCTTTCTTTCTTTCTTTCTTTCTTTCTTTCTTTCTTTCTTTCTTTCTTTCTTTCTTTCTCTCTCTCTTTCTTTCCCTTCCTTCCTTCCTCTCTCTCCTTCCTTCCTTCCTTCCTTCCTTCCTTCCTTCCTTCCTTCCT